GTGGAATGAAATACCTTTCACTGATTTCAATCACCGGGGCTATCATTCCACTCTGAGAGCTATCACTCCAGTCTCAGAACACTTCTGCTACTCATTCCACTTTGGCGGCTGAGAGGGTAGGATTTCCAGATCCAGGTTGGGAAACTCCTGGAGATTTGGGGATAGAGCCTAGGGAGGACAGGGACCTTAGTGAGGTACAATGCCATAGCATCCATCCTGTGAAGTAGCCATTTCTCCAGAGGAACTTATCTTTGTAGTCTAGAGATGACCTATAATTCTGGGGGGTCCCCAGGAACCACCTGGAGGCTGGTATCCCTAGCCCAGCTATCATTCCAGGGCCAGAACATATCTGCTACTACCAAGGGCCATCATTCCAGGCCCAGAAGATATCTGCTACTCCAAGGGACCATCATTCAACTCTGGGGGTTGTCCTTCAAGTTCCAGAGCACTTCTGCTATTACCGGGGTCTGCCATTCCACTCTGTCATTCCAGGCCCGAACACTCATAGAACTCCCAGGGGCCATCATTCCACTTCAGGGGCTGTCATTCCAGGCCCAGAACATACCTGCTACTCCCAAGGGCTGTCATTCCAGTGACAAAACACTCATGCTGCTCCCAGGGGCTGTCATTCTACTCCAGCAGCTGTTATTCCAGAGTACTTCTGCTACTCCCAGAGTACTTCTGCTACTCTGGGGGATGTCATTCAAGTCCTAGAACACTTGTAAAATATTTGCAATGGTAGTGAAGGCAATGCCCTCAGGGCGCTAACATTCTTTGACTAGCCAATTGAAGTCAGTGAGACAATGTCCAGGCAGCAAAAGGGTTAAAAAAGAAAAGAAAAGTATTATTCAAATAAGGGACAACATGCAGCCAGAAGTTTAGCTCAGATGTCCACTGAGCACCAGTTGTGTTCCAGTTTTATAATCCTTGGTTCTCCTCCCAGTTTTACATCATCCTTGACATCACTTACACATGTGTATTTCAATTTTCTTTGTCTCTACCATCCATTAATCTTACTTTTGACAAACAAGATCTTTCTGGCTTTCTTTAAACTTTTACTGTCCTTTCATCCACAAGCATCTTGTCAAAATGTTAAAAGTGAAATATGGTATTCTGCTGGGCAAAGAACCCTCTGCTGGCTATGTTCCCAGTTTTTCTCATCTCTAAAGCTTACTGGTTTAAATTCATATTATAAGCAAAAATAACTTTATCTGCTATTAATATAGTGTTTTTCTATTAACACATGTATATAAAAATACTTGTTTATACTTGTTTATAAAGTATTCTTACAAAATATATATGAAAGTTTAGTGATGATTCCATTTTAGAAAAATCAAACTTCTTACTTCTTATGACCACTAGAGGACCCTCTCTCATAGAATATATATATATTCTGCTGCTCCAATTAAACTAGATTGTCAAAAGCCTTATGAGTTATTCCTCGTTAAAATACTTTCATTTGATAAAGATAGCAATTAAAACCTTTAATACTGGTATCTCTAATATTGAACATCTGTTCTGTTGGAAACATCTTGGCTATTTTTTCAATCTTGCTTATTGTAGTAGAGATGGGACTATAAAGATTTTCCCCTCTATTTTTTATAGATTTATTCTTTAAGTAATATTTTATTAGGAAGTTAGAAAGGCCTGTTATATAGAAGGCTTTCCTCTTGTAGGTCTGATATTGCTAGCAGACAACATAATAGGTACAAAGTTCATGATTCTGTAGTTCTTGCAATGTCTGGGTCAGAGAAGATTTTAGTCTTGTATCAGTAATGAATACTTTTGTTTGGGATATGAAGAATCCTTGCCCATTATCATTTAGGTTAAGTTAAGTAAACACTTAGGTTTTACATAGATTTGACGCAGATATATGTTTCTTTACATCTGACAAATCAGAGGCTTATTACTCAAATGACCATTGTCTTTTATAACCAATTATGCTTTTTGAATATTGTTTTCTTGATGATGTCAGTCCATGTATAAAATATCATGTATTTCCTGAATATGTTCAGAATATGTACAAGAAGAAGAAGAAGATGAAAAAGAAGAAAAAGAAGAAAGTTGTCCATTTGTGATGAGTTATTTGGTCCCTCTACAGTAGCAAAATCTTCCATGAAAATTCTCACCCAAGGCCAAACTTAACAGCTCAGCTGCAGACACGCACCACTTGGCTTGTAGAAAGATCCGTCTTGCCTGTTCATAGCTTCAGTCTGATTATCCAAAGATTTGTCGACTTGGCTATTAGAATATAAGATGTCTTAGATAGGCTTAAATAATATCATAGCTCAGTTCTTCCACTTCTACTCAGTTCTGGCTATGAGATTTCTAAATACCACATTCCACCTTAAGTTCCTTCCTCCGTGACTGAAGTCCTGCTGTGGCACAGGCTCTAGACTGACCATTCTGAAGGGTAAGTAAATACGGTTTATTGAAAGACTGGTTGAAGGGGTCACATATAGCTCCAATCCACAAACTTTTTGAGAAACTTTTGGAGAATTGGGAAAGAACTTATAATGCTATTAATCTTTAAGGTGCCACTAGACTTCTTTTATTTTTATTTAATATGTCTATTTATAGATATTAGATTTTTATTTTGTCCTTCCTCCAAGGAGTCCAGGGCAGTGTACATGGTCCATTTTATTTTCACACCAACCTGTGAGGTAGGTTAGAAAGTAATTAACCCAAGTTCACCCAGTCAAGTGGCGAAACGTAGGTTTCCCCAGTCACAGAATGACACTCAAACCACCACACCACACCACACCGACTGTCATTTAAGTTTTGTGTGTGCTGTATTCAGTTTTAAATGTGGTGTTAACAAATTATTGGAGCAGCCATTCTAATTAGTTTTTAAAAACTATATCAGTTCACTCTGAAGTCCCTGTGTGATTGTTATTAATCATTTATTTATTTATTTATTTATTTATTTATTTTAAAAATGTAGTTAGGTCCCTCATGGTGGCAAACCATTAAAAAGGTTTTTAAAAAACTTTAAAACAATACATATGTGCAAAACAGCAATTAAAACAAACAAGAAGGAGAATCAATAAGGGAATGTCAAACAATATAATGGACTCCATTAAGTGTGTGTGCCTGAGCTAGCTGCCATGGGATAGCTTATGTGATAATTTCAGGAGAACTGAAGTGATAGAAGAGTTCATCAGAATATAGAATGTTTTCCTAGGTTTTGACATTTCAAGTTCACCAGATTTTATCATTTCAGATTTAGAGTTACCCTTCACGCTCACTGTCTGAACAATGGAAATCACTCTGCCTGTTGTCTTGGGGCACCCAATACCAGCTTTCCTGTCCCTGCTGCTTCCTGGCTCAGACCACTAAATGCCCTCTGCTGTCTGTAACTCTCACTGCTTCCTTGGGTTGCCAGAGTTAAGCCTTTGTGCCTTCTATGTCATTTTACTTGGCTTTCTTGGGGTGCCAAATGCCTCTCTGTGCTTATCCCATCATACTACCTAACCCATGCAGATCTTAAATATCTGCCTCTAACCTGTTCTGCAAGCAGGAATATGCCTTAAAACTGGAACCCTTTATGTCTGCAATTCAAGAGGTATGATACTTTGAGTGAGGGGTAAGTTGGTGAGAAATTCATCCCAGTTGGCTGAAAAACAAAGATGTTTTTGCCAGAAGTTAGTTTTACTTTTATTTGCTATTAACTCCCTTTCCTGAAATTTTGGCAGGGAGGATTCCTTGGGTGAAGGGCACAGCTTCAGAAAACTTTTTTCAGACTAGATGGGGGGGGGGAGTTACGTTCTAAAATATATGTCCCACTGAAACCAACTGGAAATGAAACTGGAGATAAAATGAGTAATACATGACAGTCAAACTAAATGAAAATTAAGAGACTAGCTTCTGCACACTTGTAGTATTAACTTTTCCAGGTTTGTGGTCTCTTCAAGCTATACAGAAGCAAGTTGCCAGTCACTTGAGACCTGAAACAGAGTTAATCTGTTTTCCCCAAAACTTTTCTTTCAGCCAGCCCCTTGGGGTGTTCTTTGAGAAGGCAGTGAAAACAGCCTGCAGTTCACCATACAGGTGAGTCTCCTGCATCCTGGAGGCACTGGTAATGTAGACCTTGAGTGATATTCAGTAGAGGGCATTTGAAGTTTATTTAGAGCCAAAAGTAATACAGCATTTTATCCCATTCTTCCAAACAAAATGCTTGTGGGTGATGCCCTCTAACAGCATAAATATGATGTGTGTGGGAGGTCCCCCTTATAAGCAGAATATGTTTAGGACTCAGAAATAAAGGAGGAATTCAGTTTTAAAGAGCCTTTCCCTAAAGACCCTAGATGAATATTTTAGTACTACAACCTATTTTTGTCTCTTAGGTGTTTTTTTTTTCGGGGGGGGGGTTACTACTAAAGCAGAAGCTTTCATAAAGAAGACTGACTGAGGATAATTCGACATTCTGCCATATACTGTGCCCTTTAAAAAACCTGTCAACTCAGCAACTAGTGCAGCTGGGAGCTTGTCATACATTTTAAAATGAGTAGACATGTTGCAAACTGTACAATAAGAATGACTGGCACTTACTGCAGGATAAATGTAGCTAATTTCTTCCGTGCTAAGTGGTGTTTTGTCTTGTGTGTCAAAAGCAGCTAATCAAACCCCACTTTGCAGCACAGCATTACACATTGATTGCCCAGAGGCGTCTAGCTCTGAAGCCAAGGAGAGTTGCTATGGGAATCAAGAGGGCACTTGGAGACGGGATCCGAGGCTTGGCTTTCTCCCGTCCATGGCTGCTGGAGTCACAGGAATGAAAAACTGAAAGGAGGTGGCTGGAAGGCACGGGAAGATGCAGGCAGGCATATTAGAGGAGGGACTGCCATAGCATGAGTCTGTGGCATGGAAGAGAGCAAAGACATGCATGCATCAGACACTGGTGGCTGTGCTTAGGCTGCCTGGCTGGCTCTTATTCCAACTGTAGAACTGATCTAACAAAACTACAGTAAAAGTCTATTCTGCAGCCAGTCTGGGAAAAGATGGGATCCAGCTCATCAACATACCGGTCCAAGTGTGTTTTCCTGGATATTGATGGAAGGATTCAAAAGGTACTTTTTATTGTTTATTACCCACTGGTGTATTGATTCAATTGTATTTGGGGAAAATGGGGTTCCCCCTCCAGCATTCCCCCCCCCCATTTCTGTATTCTGAACTATAACTGCAGCCTCTGTCAGGTACTAACAATGATGCTTCTGTGACGCTGTCTTGAACTACAAGTATTTTCTCATTCCTGCACAGTCTTCTGTTTGGCAAATGACTATAAAAAATGCAAAGGAACTCTGGGAGAGAGATTCCGTTTACATGCCTGACTTTTCACTTATAAGTTTGGACAATTGCTGTGTGCACTGGTGTCGATGTGAACATAAAGTTATGTGGGAGTTTGGGAGACTCTCCCGTCAGTTTTCTCTGTCAGTAGTTCTGAATGAAGCCAATAAACAATTCTAAAGATGCAGACACTTAGAATGATGAGAAGAGTTATGTAGTTGGGAAGTACAGAAGGCTTTTGATACTACATTTCTGGCAGTACCTACTGATATTTTCAAGATGCCTTGTAGTTAGATACAAATAAGGAGCATTAAACTTCTATCGTAACTTCTTTGAGTACGGAGTAGCCTCGGTGATGGCTACAAAAACAAAGGGGGCACCTTCACTACACATTCAAAAGGGCAAGGAATCAAATAGGAATTTTGCACACAGGATGGCTTCCAAGCTCTTAAAGAGTATTTATAATAAGTGGGGCAAAGGAGGGGTGATATGACTGAAGGTGACTTTTAAAATCCAAACAGTTCCATCTATTGAGGAGTGTCTATTCCAAGTCATTATGTTCCAGTGTTCTTTTGTCCTTTTGAAAAGAGGGAACTGCAACTTGTTCATTCACCACTTTCCTTTGTGTATTAAATTAGTCCTCAAGGACTAATTTTAGGATAAACTCTCTCTCTCCTGAATACAAAGGGGTTGTCTGTCTGCAAATGTGTCACACTAAGGGTTTTTCCAGACGTATTTGTAATTAATTGTAAGCTCTGAAATAGCACTAGTCTCTGTCCAGCTCCAAGAATATTACAGTCCCTCAGCCATATAAGGAAAATGCTTGGAGATACTTTTGTTGAGAGAGAATAGCCTTATGGCTGGGGAAGGGAGGGAGAGTAGGGGTGCAAAGCCTTCCTACACAACAGTGAGGAAACACTGAAAATGTTCTAAAATGTGCTGGGGAATTCAAAATGGGAAAGACTGGGGGGGGGCAGTGGCAGTGATGTAGTGTGTATTATTTTCATGCACTCTGTACATAATAAATGACAATGCCAAGAGTTCCATCCAAAACAAGACTGTGGCAATAGCATATCCATGATGATCTGTGGCATTCTTGCAATAATTGAGATTGCAAGAGGTGAAACTGTATTTTCACGGTCATTCAATATTACACTCTGGTACAGGGAAAAGGGAATTTCTGATAAATAGCAGCATTATCTCCCATCAGGATTCCCTGCAAAAAGATAAGCACTTGGGCTTCTTCTTTTTTTCTTTTTTCTTTTTTTGCAAACACAATATTATCTAGAAAGGCTTATGAGCTTTAGAGCCATGATACTGTGCTGCTTATCATCAGCAAACTTTTCTTCTTACCTCATTTCAGCCTTGAAAGCTACTATGGTGTAGTGGTTAAAGTGGTGGACTAGGATCAGGAAGAATCAGGTTTGAAACCCTGCTCTGCCGTGGAAGCTTTCTGGGTGACCTTGGGTCCTTCATTTTCAGCCTAACCTACCCCACAGAGTGGTTGTGAGGCTAAAATGGAGAAGAGGATAATTATGTAAGCTACTTTGGGTTCCCACTTGGGAGAAATGTGAGGTATATACGAAACAAATAATTTTAACAGTAGTGGGCCATCTCAGATGTTCGACAGCATCCTATGTAGGCATCTTAAGGACCATAGGAACAAAATGAAGTCTACTGAGGACAGACTGGAGCCACACAAACAGGAAGCAGGCAACAGAAACCAACAGCAGGATGATTGTAGTGGGGGAAAGCCAGCTGAGAAAAGTTAGTGTCAGGGCAAAGGGTTAGCAGGACCAGATAGAGCTCTGAAGAAGGCAACTTGTTTCAACAACTGACAGGGTTTAATTTAGCCCTTTTATATTGTTGAAGAACTTGGTATCAAGTCCTGACCCTCCTCGGTGATCCTTATACTTAATGGAGCTGTCCTGAGCTAGAATGCTTTGTAAGGCTTCCCTCCCTCAGGAAATCAATTGGTAGTGCCATACTAACAACTGGTGAAGTCTTATAAAGCTGTTCCAAATTAGAATGTCAGCACTTCTATTATTTTGTCTCTGCACAGATGATAATACCTCTGTTGCCATCAGCTCTTTATTACTAACATAAACTGGTATCTGGACATTATTGGTAGAAAAAAGCAAGAGTCCGGTAGCACCTTAAAGACTAACAAAATTTGTAGCAGAGTGTGAGCTTTTGTGAGTCACAGCTCACTTCTAAAACAGCAACCCATCTTGGACATTATTAGACAGCAAGGCCCTGGATTATATCTTGATACAAATTTACTGCACATGGTGAATTTGATCACTCTCTTCTCCATCTCCCTAAAGGATATGTTACAAAAATGTTCTAAGATCTTAATGCAACACCTCTTACTATGTACAAAATGTTATATTTACAGTGAATAGATCATCCCCACTGCACTTTCTAAATTAATTTCCCCACACACACCAGGTCTGCTATGGAGAAAATCATGCACAAATAATCTGGTTTTGTCTCAAGAGCACTCATATTGTTGAAGAAATTTGGAAAGAGGACAGTTGTTTTTCAAGACATGGGAAACAAAGGCTTGCAGAACAGACACCATCCATTTCATTTATTGGTGACTGACGTCTATCTGCGTGGTGTACAGCAGGGGAGGAATCCTGGGAGGAGCATTTTAGATCCCATCTCATTTAGTCAGGGTTCACTGATAGGTAAAACAGGAGATTATTTCTCTCTCTACACAAAGATATAATTAGAAGAATACAGTCCTTTATCTTTCAAGGAAAATGGTCTCTGGAGGGCACTCATTAAGTGAATTCTAAGCTTTGACCCCATAGTGAGGTAAAATCCTCTTCATACTATTATCCCATATGAAAGGATTTCTTTTCAGATGGCAAAACTAGATGATAGTTATAATGGATGTTGCCATAAATTGTACACATGCAAGGATTAAAACTGAGTAATATTATACACAAATACATTAGGACGGCATAGATTCAATTAGAGAATTGTTCACCCGAGAATTAAAATGGTATAGACAGGGCCTTTCTTCTGGGGGAACACACTGGTATGGAGTTCCAGAACCTCTTCAACAAAATTCTTTTTAAAATGTTTAAAAGTTCATGAGTTTTCAGTATACAGATTGAAAACTTCATTTCCCTCTTGAGAGTTCTGGCACCACTTTAAAAAAAAAAAGCCCTGGGTATAGTCCAATTAGCTATAGAAGGGAAAGGATTAATTCCCCCAGAGGTGTTCTGGCACCACTTTAAGAGAAGATGGCTTTGAAGCCATAACTACACTAACAGGGGTAGTATCTGAAGAAGGAGCCACAAACCAGCCCCTAAAGTTCAGACTCAACATTTTTCATTCCAGTTTTCATAGAAATTATGAAGAAATATGATGTTTGGAAACCTTTGTTATCTAAAGAAGTGAGCATTTGGAAAGCTCACCTGAAAGGCTAAGAATGTAAATTATGCCAGCCTCCTGTAAATGTCTAGGACAAAGAGAGAGAGAAGTCTCCTTCTTTCTCGCTCTTGAGTTGGATAATATTGGGTAAGAGTTGGAGAAGAGGCCAGTTGAATATGTTCAGTCAAATGCTGCATCCTGGGGCCAGGAGATGCATGCAGCAGGCCATGCCCTTTCCTTGAACCCAAGACAACCAACATTCCTGAGGTCATTTCAGGAGCTTGGATTGGGTTCAGAGGAAGGATGAAGCAGGACACTCTTTGGCTAAGGCAATGGAATGTTACAATTCTTAGTTTAGAGGTAAAGATCAGATGTGTATGCTCAGTCTCACTCCAGAATTTATTCTGTGGTCTCAGGGGAAGAGTTGTTGTTGTTCAGTTGCACAGTCAAGTCCGACTCTTCACAACCCCATGGACCACATCACACCAGGCCCTCCTGTCTTCCGTTGTCCTCCGGAGTTTGCTTAATTTCATGTTCGTTGCATTGATAACACTGTCTAACCATCTCATCCTTTGCCGTCCCCTTCTTCTGTTACCTTCAATCTTTCCCAGCATCAGGGTCTTCTTCCGTGAGTGCTCCCTTCTCATTTGGTGGCCAAAGTATTTGAGCTTCAGTATCTGGCCTTCAAGGGAACAGTCAGGATTGATTTCATTTAGGACTGACTGATTTGATCTCCTTGCAGTCCAAGGGACTCTCAAGAGTCTTCTCCAGCAGCATAATTTCAAAGCATCTATTCTTCAGCGCTTGGCCTTCCTTATGGTCCAACTCTCTCACCCATACATTACTGCTGGGAATACCATCGTTTTGACTATGTGGACTTTTGTTGTCAGGGTGATGTCTCTACTTTTTATTATGCTGTCTAGGTTTGCCATAG